CTACGAGGTGACAGTAGTCTACCAGGTGACAGTAGTCTACCAGGTGACAGGAGTCTACCAGGTGACAGGAGTCTACGAGGTGACAGTAGTCTACCAGGTGACAGGAGTCTACCAGGTGACAGGAGTCTACCAGGTGACAGGAGTCTACGAGGTGACAGTAGTCTACCAGGTGACAGGAGTCTACCAGGTGACAGGAGTCTACCAGGTGGTGACAGGAGTCTACCAGGTGACAGGAGTCTACGAGGTGACAGGAGTCTACCAGGTGACAGGAGTCTACCAGGTGACAGGAGTCTACCAGGTGACAGGAGTCTACCAGGTGACAGTAGTCTACCAGGTGACAGGAGTCTACGAGGTGACAGGAGTCTACGAGGTGACAGTAGTCTACCAGGTGACAGGAGTCTACCAGGTGACAGGAGTCTACGAGGTGACAGTAGTCTACCAGGTGACAGGAGTCTACCAGGTGACAGGAGTCTACGAGGTGACAGGAGTCTACCAGGTGACAGGAGTCTACCAGGTGACAGTAGTCTACCAGGTGAAAGAGTCTACCAGGTGAGTAGTCTACGGGTGACAGTAGTTACCAGGTGACAGAGTCTACCAGGGTGACAGGAGTCTACGAGGTGACAGAGTGTACCAAGTGTGGCATACCTGATCTGATACTATCTCAAGTGTTAGCAGTGAGTGAGTGTATACAAGTGTTGGCAGCGAGTGAGTGTATCAAGTGTTGGCAGCGAGTGAGTGTATCAAGTGTTGGCAGCGAGTGAGTGTATCAAGTGTTGGCAGCGAGTGAGTGTATCAAGTGTTGGCAGCGAGTGAGTGTATCAAGTGTTGGCAGCGAGTGAGTGTATCAAGTGTTGGCAGCGAGTGAGTGTATCAAGTGTTGGCAGCGAGTGAGTGTATCAAGTGTTAGCAGCGAGTGAGTGTATCAAGTGTTAGCAGCGAGTGAGTGTATCAAGTGTTGGCAGCGAGTGAGTGTATCAAGTGTTGGCAGCAAGTGAGTGTATCAAGTGTTGGCAGCGAGTGAGTGTATCAAGTGTTGGCAGCGAGTGAGTGTATCAAGTGTTGGCAGCAAGTGAGTGTATCAAGTGTTGGCAGCGAGTGAGTGTATCAAGTGTTGGCAGCGAGTGAGTGTATCAAGTGTTGCAGCGAGTGAGTGTATCAAGTGTTGACAGCGAGTGAGTGTATCAAGTGTTGGCAGCGAGTGAGTGTATCAAGTGTTGACAGCGAGTGAGTGTATCAAGTGTTAGCAGCGTGGGTTAATTAAGTGTTGTCAGGGAGGGGCGTCGAGGATTGTGCGGACGCGAGTGTAGCATGGGTGAGACGGCTGTGATCTGCTTAACCTATTATTCCCACCCTTCATTATTTGATGAGATCTGTATCTTCCTCCTGCTCCTCATCTTCCTCCTCCTGTTTCTCATCTTCCTCCTCCTGTTTCTCATCCTCCTCCTCCTGCTCCTCATCTTCCTCCTCCTGTTTCTCATCTTCCTCCTCCTGTTTCTCATCTTCCTCCTCCTGCCTCCTCCTTCCCTCCTCCCTGTTTCTCATCTTCCTCCTCCTGTTTCTCATCTTCCTCCTCCTGTTTCTCATCTTCCTCCTCCTGTTCTCCATCTTCCTCTCCTGTTTCTCATCCTCCTCCTCCTGCTCCTCATCTTCCTCCTCCTGTTTCTCATCTTCCTCCTCCTGTTTCTCATCCTCCTCCTCCTGCTCCTCATCTTCCTCCTCCTGTTTCTCATCTTCCTCCTCCTGTTTCTCATCCTCCTCCTCCTGTTTCTCATCCTCCTCCTTTCCGTTCTCACCCCCCCTTCTCCGTCTGTTTCTCAAACTTCTCTGATTAAGGTAAAGTAATATGATTCATATTTAAACTGACGAATATCGCAAAAATGATAATTTTGAGAACGATATTCGTAATAAAGTATCGTACAAAGTGACCGAGGATTATTGCAACGCTGAGGCGCAGTTGGAGATTAAATGTTGTAAACAACTTAGAATCTGAAAATTATTGCAATTCTTCGGCATATTAGTTATTATTGCTAATATCGAAATTTTTATCCGCCGTGCAATAATTGCACTAGGTAATAAGACCTATAATAATTACTAAATACAATCATTGCTGTATACTGGCAAGCTAAATAAAAAACCAAAGGGAAATTAGGATTATGGAACGCAGGATAATTGGGTAGCCAATGAGAATGCTCCTCCCTTGCACAGCAGCACCAATAGAAACTCTCCTTCAGAATCTGGTTGAACGATCCCACATATGACTTAGCCCACAGCAACTTAAAGGCACGTACCGAGTGGTACAAGAGTACACGAGTGGTACAACAGGTGTGTACACAAGTGGTACAACAGGAGGGGTACACGAGTGGTACAACAGGAAGGGTACACAAGTGGTACAACAGGAAGGGTAAAATGGTACAGCAGGTGTGTACACAAGTGGTACAACAGGTGGGTACACAAGTGGTACAGCAGGTGTGTACACAAGTGGTACAACAGAAGGTGGTAC